AAACCTGCAGCAGCTGCTCGTGCAAATAGCCAAGTGCAGGGTGCACCAGCTCCAGTGCCAGCAAGTGCTTCTGCTGCAGGTTCCACTTCTGCTGTCGTGCCTGAAAACCATTCCTCAGCAGTGCCAGGAACGGGGGAAAGCCCTGGTTGCTCACAAGGGACAGATCTGCAGTGCAATAAGGAACTAAAAGAGAAAGCTTTGGAAAGCAGCCCTGAGGGAGGGGGTTTTCCAGGCACGAATCCAGCTGCAGCAGAGAAGGCCCCAGAGCAGGGAGGGTGCAATGGTCAGGTCAGAGCCGGTAGCTCAGCCTCAGTCGTGCTGCAGAACCAGGCTTTTGTGCCAGGCCAGATCACAGTGGTGCCTGTTGGCCTGGAGCCTGGCACCAACAAACTGCCCCTTTCCACACCAGTCCCCTGTGAGCAGAACAGTAACGGGCCACAGCCCAGGCCAGTCAGCCTCTTGCCTGCTCTTGTCACTCCCCAAGCTGGATCTGCCGTGATTCCCAACAGCATCCTGCCCTTCACATGGGTGGTAACCCCCCAGGCTCTGCTCCCCACCGCTGTACAGGCTGTGGTGGGTGTTCCCCAAGCAACACCAGCTGCTCCAGGGAGAAGTCAGTGCCAGACAGCTGGGACTTCCAATGGCAGTGTCTCTGGTTTGGGAGCGACTCCTGTGGCCGCTGGAGCGAATCCACCTCACCCCAGCAGTGCAGAGACAAAAGGGCCGAGTTCCCAGGGAGCAGGAGTTCCTTTGGGAAAGGCAGCTGAGCATTCCACGATCCTCTTGCCTGGGACCTCAGTGAGTGCTGGATGCGCCTCATCCAGCATTTCTTCTGCAGCACCTGCCTGTTCCAATGGCTTCTGCAAGGCTTCTGACTCCCCTGCAGCTCCGACTGCCCCTGACACCCCAGCCCTGGGTGCTGTGGGGCTGCCCCACACACAGCCCTCTGGAAACACTCAGGGGGCTGATCCCCAAGGTGTGTCCAGCCTCGCCAGCTCAGGAAAGAGCCCTGACTCCGCTCCAGCAAGCACAGAGTCCATCACACAAGGGATTGTGCTCCAGCCAGGAGATCCAGCTCCTCCCAGCAGTGCCACTGCCCCAGGGAGCTCGGGTTGCTTTGCTGCCCAAGCCCTGAGGAACAGACCCATCGCCTCCAAACCACCCACGGCGCAGCCCGAGGACGTTCCCCCCCAGCCGAGCACTTCCAGTGCAGAGAGGAATCTTCTCGACTTCAGCCTGGTTTCCCTGGAAGATGAGGGGCTGGTGAGGGAGTGGCTGAGTGGGAAACGAGGTGTCCAAGTCCCCTCACTGCAAACCAGGCTGCCTTATTTGCCACCTTTTCTGTGCAACATAAAAACCCTCTCGAAGCTCCTCCTGCAGAAAGCAGCTCTGGAGGAGCAGGCATCGAGTCTCCTGCCCCCTGATACCGCTGAGGATGGAGGCACTCGGGATGTTTTCCGTGCTATTGGAGAACTGGTGCAGCAGAAACTGGGTGATAACCCTGCTTACCTCCTGCTGAAAGCCAGATTCCTGGCAGCATTCACCCTCCCAGCTGTCCTGGCAACTCTGCCTCCTCCAAAAGTGACAACAACTCTGTCAGCCAGCAGGAAGCAACATGAGGAGAGTGATGAAGAGGAGTGGCAGAGTGAGAAGGAAGTGTCTGAGGAAGAGAGCTGTGGGAATGAATTAACAGGAATGCAGTTGGATTGGAGAGCTGGGGATGAGCCTGGAGACAAAGACGCTGATTTGCTAAATCAGGTAAAACAAATGCCAGGAGCTAAAAGCAGAAAGTTACTCCCAGCTAAATATTGCACTGGAACCCAGGGAGAATCCCCCACTGTTTTTAAGTGTAGCAGAAATTTGGTCCTTTTGAATAAACATGGTTTCACAGCTGATAAAAAGAAAAGCAGGTTTTCACTGCCAACCTCTCTTCTGTGTCATCTGCCAGGCTCACTCCCGCCCCTGTGATTCAAACTACAGCCGGGTTGTTTTCCTGGCAGTTTTCAGGGGAAAGGTTGTGGAAGGGGTTGTGTTTTATGAGCAATCAGAAGCTGATTGTGACCTGCGCTGTCTGGGCACTGTCTGGCTCCAGCAGTGAGAGCCAGAGAATCACTCGTGGCAGGCACCCAACCTCTAGCAAAAGGTTGTACCCCAACCTCTGTAATGGGCAGTTGTGCCCAGACAGAAACAACAGCAGGAATTGCTCTGCTCTGGGAGCAGGAACAGGAGGAAAGGTCAGTGTTGGCCAAAGGTCTTGCTCTGAAAACTCAGGGATGTTTTGTGGTTTGTCTGACACTGCTAACAGAATGTTGTCCCCTGCTTATTTTTGAAGGTGAGTGGAAGATTATTTTGGAAATCTTGCTGAGCTCCATAAAATAAAAAGATGGCTGGAGGGATTATTTATTTGCAGTTATGCTCATTCTCATGGTGCTGATCATCTCCTGCTTATGTTGCAGGGCCTGGGGGCTGAAGAGGGCACTGCCCAGCCTGCCCTGGACTCCTGCACTGCTGTGGCTGATGCCAGTGCTGCCCCAATCAGGAGAAGTGCCCGCTGCAGGAAGAGGAGGAGGAGGATGTGAGAAGGAGATGTGTTGGTAACTACTCAGAGACTTGCATTTCGTGCCTGAGAACCTGAACCACATCTGTGTGTGGTTCAGCTCAGACAGTGAATCACAACCCCAGGAAGGGGCTGAAATTCTCTCTGCTCTCGTTCCCCGAGGACACAGAGTTCTGCAGTCACCACTAATCACAGCCTAAGGCTGATAATCTTCTTGGGGGAGTGAAAGTTCGTATCTGTATGATAAAATTATATATACAACATTGTTGAAGTTCAAACATTTGGCTGCCAGTGGGTGCTTCGCTGGAGTTTGATTCTCATGGTTGGCAGATGACACTGCTCGAGTGTTTTTATCTTTAAAATTCGTTTTAGAAACTCCAAGAAGGGCAACTTCCCCCTAAAAATGCTGTGACTGATGGGAGCTGTTTGTGCTTTGTTACAGAGGTCACTGGAATGAGCTCTGCCTTCCTGCGTGGCAGTAGGAGGTACTCTTTGCACTGTTCACTTTTACCACTTCCAACATGCCAACTGGATGGACCTGGGGGAGAGGAAAATGGCTGGACTGGTTTTCCCATCGCCCAACAAAACCTGCATCTTGTAGGAAAGGTGCAAAAAAAATGAAACAAAATGGCTGGAGGGAAATGTTTCAGGCATGGACCAGTGCTGCTCTTTCAAACTCACACCTGCCAGAGATGCTGGGGGAGAAGGTGCTGGAGATCTGGGGGGAACCAGGAATGGTGGTTATTTATTTCCTTTTTGTTCGGCCCCTATTTATGTGAATGTTTATCCACGCTCAGAATACGTTGTCAATTGGGTGTTTTTTAGTGCTGTGACAGTGGCTTTGCTTGCTAACTGGCTGAGTGCTGCTGAATAAGCAGCAGATTAATTTTGTATCAAAATGAGTCTTAAGTATTTGTTGAAATACAGATGTTTTATTTTTCTCACTTAAAAATTACTGCCGCATTCTGTGTGGTTTTTTTCCCCTGGTAAATAGTGCTTTTAATAACGTGTGTACGAGTGTGATTGCTAATGAGAAAAATGAAGTTTGCAAGCTGCATGAAAACCAGGGAGAATGTGGAAAATGAATATTCATGTGGCTAAAAAGGATTGAATTCAGCTTGGATTCTTTCTTGGTTCTTCCACAGCCTGCCCTGTAGAGACATCAGCAAATCACTAAACAACAACTTGTTTCTTCATTTATAAACCAGCAATTTCTGTCTCCCCGAGAGGTGCAAGGTTAGCTGAGGCAAAGCTGATCCAATCTAGATGGAAAATGCTGCAGAAACCTTCATTGCACTGCCTGAGCTTGCCCTGAGTGTGGGGATGAGTTCTGTGAGTTCCAACCCTTCCACAAGGGCCCTTCATGCAGAGGTCAGGGGGACAGTGGGTGCCAGTGCTGCTGTAATTTGGTGTCAGGACATTCTGGAGCGATTGGAATGATTGTGGAGTGGCTTTCCTCTTGCAGTGTGCTCTATTTTCCATAAGCCAGTGTAGATAACGTTTTTCCAAGAAATTAATCTGGCTCAGAAGCAGTTCTGGGGGCTGTTCACAGGCTGTTATGGTGACCTGTGCTCCAAATGATTGTTGTCTTCTGTAAATGCCACTCAGAAGGTGCCCTTGGAAACTGTTTGTGGAAAAACTGTTCAAGAAGCAGCTGTGTTTGACCTTTTTCGGGATTAAACTGATGTGTCACTATAGAACAAGTTTTAGATTGGTCAATTAGCAGCCAGTGATTGCCTTCAGCAAGGGCACAGCTGACACAGGGGACTGTACCTTCTTTTGATGCAAAGTTAATTTAATGCCTACCAAGAGTCACAGCCTGAAAGAATCTCTGAGCATCTCTGCCCCACTCCTAATGATGACATGGAAAAACTCTCCCCAAATTTAGAAAGCAGAACAAAGAGCGGAGTGGGAAGCTAATGGGAAGATGTGTCACGCTGCCATGGCGTCAGAGCCTGTGTGTTCTCCAGGCTTTTTTAACAGAGTCCTTGTCTCAGCTACATCTCCAGGACTGTGGGAAGAGGGGGAGGCAGGCACAGGTCTTGTGTTGATGCTCAGCATCATCCCTGTGCTGCTTTCTGTGCTGCTGCTTTCATTGCTGTTACGGCCCCGGGCTGGAATTTGGGAATCATGGGTTATGTTCCTTTGCCAAGGCTTGACTCCCTTTCCCCTCAAAGTACTGAGTTGTCACAATTATGCTCGAAGCTTAAGGACATCCAGAATTAGAGGCATCATTATGGAAATTGTCCTTTTCAGCACAACTCTAAACTGAGTCCTTGCTGCCACCTGCTTTCCTGGACAGAGATGTTGACAGCTGGAAGGACAGGCCTTTGAAAGAGCCTCTTCCTTCTAATTTTGTGGCTGGTTTTAATCCCCTGAAATCAGCTGCACAGACCTATGCCTGTGACTTTCATTCTTTTTAGTGTTCGGTTGTTTTTTTTTTAAGTCTTTCTGACCACTGCCCAAGGAATCTCTCTGGACCCCAGCAGGTTGTTCAGTGGGGCAAATGGGAAATGAAGCCAGAATGAGTCCAAAATCACTGTGTGTATTTTGCTGCTGACTCACGACGCCGCCACCACCATTTTTCTCCTCCCCAACACCCATTCTGGCTTCCCCTTTTTTTATTTATCTCTTTTCTTCCCTTCCATTTCCCATCTTAGAGTACAGCTGAGTAGTTTCCCCTTTTCTCAAACTAGTTTTGCTCCTGGAATGATCTTTGCTCTGGCCAGAATATAAAGGGAGGCTGCACCCAAGAGAAGTTTTCTCAGAGCCAGGAGGGGAAACCAGGAGGTTTTTGTGACTGCACAGGCTCAGGTTGGTCTGTGGAATACAGAATGGCTCATGTTAACAGGGGAAAAATACATTTCACAGCTCTGAGGCAATAATGGGTTTAGCAACAGGGAAATGCATCTCCTGTAATCTGCTGGTGTTTGTGACCAGAAATTGCTGAAGCTGCAGGGGTGGGATGTGTGAGGTGGGATGTCCTGGAGAATGCAGGGGAATGTTTGTTAGTGAGATCTGACAGCACTTTCTTGGGATAGCTGTCGGGAATCTGGAGTTGGTTGGATTTTCCTTTGTTCACAGGGCTTGCCTATCCCCACTAAGTCTGTTCCTAAATAGTTTTCCTTTCCTGTTGCAGTGAGCTCTGGGAGCTGTTCAGCTGCTTGGAAGGAGGTTCCTTGAGCTTTGGTGACTTCTGTTTTCTCAGAATTTCTCCCCAGCTGTGGCAGCGGCGCTGGCACCACTCTCAGCTGCTGCTGGGACCTCACTTTGTGTGAGGTGTGACCGTCCCACGGGTGATTTGCCAGCACGTGGCAGATGTGCTCCTGTGTCTGAAGGACACTTTTCCATTCTCACCCCTGGCTTTTCCACCACGCTCCGGGAGGCTGAGTCTGCTCGTTTGTTTTCCGGGCGTCGTTTCCCAGCCAGGACAGCGCCGCTCACTGACACTCCTCACCCCCGCCATGCTGGAGGAGGACAACGACGAGACCTGCTGGAACAACCTGGAGAACTTCCGAGTGAAGCTGATCTCCGTCATCGACCCCTCCCGCATCACCCCCTACCTCCGGCAGTGCAAAGTGCTCAGCCCTGACGATGAGGAGCAGGTCCTCAACGACCCCAGCCTGGTCATGCGCAAGCGGAAGGCAGGTGGGTGGCTGAGGGCAGCCTTTGGCTCCCCGGGTGCTCCTGTGCCCTGCTGGGAGCAGGTTGGAACAGTCCAAATACTTCTGTGTAGTCACTGGGCAGTTGGTTTGGGATTTTCTGGGGAATTAAGACACTGGAAGGGCTGCCCAGGGAGGTGGTGGTGTCACCGTGCCCAGAGGTGTTAAAGGACGGGCTGGATGTGGCACTCAGTGCTCTGGTCTCGTTGACAAGGTGGCGTTTGGTCATAAATTTGACTTAATGATCTCAGAGCTCCTTTTCAACCTGATTCTGTGATTGTGTGATTTAATCCCAGGGATTTCTGTACGTGGAGAAAGTGGAGCCATTTTTTGTTATGTTAGAAATAGGTGAAGAGATGAGTAACTAAACAGAACCTCCTGTTGCCATTTTTTCTCAGGAGTTCTTCTGGACATTCTTCAGCGAACAGGACACAAGGGCTTTGAGGCCTTCATGGAGAGTCTTGAGCTTTATTATCCACAGCTGTATAAGAAAATCACTGGCAAGGAGCCCAGCAGGGTTTTCTCTATGATTATAGGTACTGTTTGTGTTGTTCAAAACAGCTCTTCCTTTGGTGCTGCCGTGCAGAGCCAGGAGCACTCCCTGCCTTGCTCCCTCTGTGTGCTTTGGGAGGGTTCTGGGAAGAACAGCCCGGTGTCAGAGGCTGGAGAGGTGGAGAGGGAAGCAGAAGGATCAGTTCTTTCTGCCTGTTCTGTCAGTGGCACTGTGGTGCAGGAGGGCACAGAGCAGGGGATAACCTGATCACATAAGTTCATGGGCTGGCCCCGAGCTGCAGTGGGAAGTCGGGGGAAGCTGAGATGTGTGTGTGCCTGGGAGCAGCCAGGACAGCAGGGGCTGACTCCTGCCCCCCAAACAGACACCGCTGGGGAAGCAGGCCTGAGCCAGCTGCTGATGAACGAGATCATGAAGTTGCAGAGCGCGGTGCAGGAGGAGCGGCGCAGGGCCCAGGAGCTGACAGTGTGGCTGCACAGCAAGGAGGACACCATCAGGGAGATGTGGGTGAGGGACAGCCTGCTCCGAAAGCACCAGGAGCGGGCCCAGAGGATGAAGGAGGAGAGGGACAGCCTGAGCAGGGAGCTGAGGAAGTGCAAGGACGAGAACTACAACCTGGCCTTGAGCTTCGCCAAGCAGAGCGAGGAGAAGAGTGCAGCCCTCATGAAGAACAGGGACCTGATCCTGGAGGTCAGTCACGTGTCTCCAGCTTCCCCCCTCTTACCCAAGCCCTGCAAGGCTGGGCTGAGCACCTGACTTGTCTTTGAACCTTCTCACAGATTGACCACTTGAAGCACAGCCTCATGAAGGCTGAGGACGACTGCAAGCTGGAGAGAAAGCACACCATGAAGCTCAAACACGCCATAGAGCAGCGCCCCAGCCACGAGGTGGTGTGGGAGATCCAGCAGGAGAAGGAGCTGCTGTTGGCCAAGAACCAGGAGCTGGAGAACACCCTCCAGGTTGGTGGGGTGGTTGAACGTGGGTTTGTGAGAAGGGGTTATTTGTAGCAGCCAGGGAAGTGATTGGGTTGTGTATTCCGTGGGTCAGCTGTGTCCTTGTTCTCCCAAATCAAATAGAGCACTGCAGTGGTGGGGGAGAGTTGATATGGAGTTAGGTGGTGGCCGTATCCCACTTCTTCCTTTGTCCAGCAGGTTGCCAGGGAACAGAATTTGGAGAAGAACCTCTCCAAGGAGGCTCTGGAGGGTGACTGCAGGCAGATCCTGGAGGAACGGCGGGAGCTGGTGAACACCATTTACAGCCTGCGCAAGGAGCTGCGCCGAGCCAGGGCGCTCCAGGACAAAGTAGGTGCTGCAGGACAAACTCCTCCTCAGGGTCCTGCTGGGAGACAGGCAGCTGAACACCTCCTGCCTGTGGAGCAGAGCAGCTGCTCAGGAGCAATCCTGCTGTAGGATCTGTATTTTAGCATTGCGGGGGCAGGGGACGGCTCAGGCTGTGGAGGTGGCACAGAGCAGGAGTGGTGCCAGCCTGGCTCAGGCTCTGCCCACAGCCAGGTGCCTTCTGACCTTGTCTCAGCAGTATGCAGAGGAAAAAGAGATGCTTGAACTGCAGTGCACGTCCCTGAGGAAGGACTCCCAGATGTATAAGAAACGGATTGAAGCCGTTCTGCAGCAGATGGAGGAAGTGGCCGCAGAAAGAGACCAGGTGATAGGACATTCCTCGTGGAATGCTGATCATCCCTGCTCTGCTGCCCAAAGTGGGCAGATACATAACCCTGACTGTGCTCCTGTGTGACACGACATGCGTTGTCCCTCTCCCCAGGCTCTCCTGACCCGGGAGCAGTTCCACCTGCAGTACTCCAAGAACCTGGTGGAGAGGGACACTCACCGCAAGCAGATCCGGGAGCTGGGGGAGAGATGTGATGAGATGCAGCTGCAGCTCTTCCAGAAGGAGAGCCAGCTGCTGGCCACTGAGGCCAAGCTGAAAAGGTTGCAACTGGAGCTGCCCACCCCGGTAGGATTGTGATCCCTGGGATGGGACGGGGAAGCTGAGCGAGGGGCCAGAGGGTGGCTGTTCCGAGGCCTTTGCACCTGGACAGCTCCAGGGACCACCTGCCTGGGGAGCCACTGAAATTAATTAAAACCAAATGCCGAGTTTAGGCAAAGAAAGACACGATGGTTCCTGTGACCTGACCTTAGTTCCAGACATGGATAAGGTGGGCTAATGCTGTGTTCGTGTTTGGAGCGTGAGGAGTGCTTAATTTCTACTGGTTTTGTTTCAGACCTCTGACCTGGATGACACGTCCTCCAGAGATTCCCAGGAAGTGAGTAGGGTTGCCTTGTTTGCCTTTCACTTTCTTTTGGGATGGTTTCATATTTCTCACTCGTGCTCAGTTCCCCAAGGATCAGCAGTTTCCAGTCCATGGCTCAGGCACCAGGGAAAGGCTGGTTCTAAGCAGGGCCAGTTTCTTGTATTCCTGTATCTCTCCCTGCAGACTGAGGGACAGTTCTCACATTCCTCCTCTGTTTCTGTCCCACAGCTCACCCTTCACAGTCACCTGGATGAAGATGCACAGCCCACTAAAAGTAAGGCTTTACTTGGGAAAACGTTGGGTAGAATTCTGGAGAGGATGGTCCAGTGTCTCAAAGGGAAATGGAAAGACATTCCTGGGTTTTATTTTTAGCTGCTCACAGAACAGAGCAAACATCCTTCCGCTTCAGATGGACCGTGTGGCTTTCTCCAGGGATTCTTCCCCCCCCCCCCCTTCCCTTTTATGTTGCAGGTTGTTTTCCCAAAAGCAGAACCAGGTGGTGAGTGCTGTCACTGGTTCTGTTTCTGTGGCATCCCCAGTGGAAATGATTCAGCAATGTGGGAAGGAATTAATAGCCTCCTCTTAGAACTGGAAAATCTCTTTTGAGATTATTATTCTGACTTGCTCAGTTCAAAAATATATATCGTGACACCTGGTCACTACGTAAGGAGTTTCACCAAAATGTGGTCTGGTGTGAAGTGCCTTGGTATGCACAACTTGGGGAACAAGGATAAATTACACTTAAAGTAATAATTAACGTGTTTCTCATGGTGACCTCTAATATGAGTATTATTTTTTTAATGATGCTGAGCAGAGGTGCTGCTTGGTAGAAGTTTGTTTTGCTCCTGTATAAGCAGAATGTGGGGAACTCCATCATCTGAGCAAGGCTCAGGGCTCAAGTAAAATGAGAAGTGGCTCTGCACTGATCACAGGGCCAAGTCCTGGCATTTTGGGCTTGGTTTCAGTTCTGCTGAGGACTCTGTGCAGTTACATCACAGTTTGAAGAACTGGTGGAGGGAGAAGTTACTTCACAATGGCAACTCTGACTAAAGCTGTGATTTTTTTCCATCTCTCCAAAGATTGCCCTGAAGGACCAAACCAGCAGCTCAGCCCTGGAGAGGACAATCTGCCCCCAAAGTCACCCAGTGTAAGAGAATCTTCGTGGGCCCCTCTGGGGTTTGTGGTCTTTCATGTTCTCGTTAATGATGGATTTACCAGGTTTGAGAAAGCTTTGTCAGCTTTTCCAAAATCTGAGCACTTAGTGCAGAATTCACCCTCCAGAAAGGGTGAGCTCTGAACAGCATGTTCTGCTGTTATTGGTTGTTTCTCCATTTGTGCATAGAAACTTCTCCTAATTACTTTCTATCCTTCATCTCTGGGTGTGGATGTTTTCCAGTTTAATTGACTGCAGCATTACTGCTTGTACGGGAAACAGAATCCCAAATTTACAAACGTGAGGGAATAAATATGCTAAAACTCTGTGAGGCAGAGGTATTCCCATCCTGCACACGCACTAAGGGACAGCCCAGAAACCAACCTACTGCACTCCATTCTGCAGGCAGATACTGATCTGATCTTTGGAGGAATCCAGTTCATTTTTTTTTTTAATTTTTAATTCAAGGAGTGTGGCTTGGCCAACGAGGAACTGGCAGAAAAGGAGAGGAAGAGGATGAAGGATTGCTTTGAGCGCTACCGAAGGTTTGTGTTGCAGTAAGCAGGACTAACCTTGGAATACCTATGTGGCCTAACTTAATATCTTTTTTTATATCTGTTTCCTCTTTCCTGTCCATCCCCTGCCCCCAAACCTGAGTCAGGGACGGCATAAAATTAAACACAAAATGGACTAATACATACTAAACCTTCCCAGAGTGTCGAAATGCTGCTTGTTTGCAGAAATCACCTTTCTAAAAATGACACGACCGGTCTTGTTTTGCAGAAAAAGAGCCATGAGGAGGGTGCCAAGGGACCGGCACCACGAGGCTGACTGGGAGAACACCACGGGCAGCGACAACACCGACACCGAGGGCTGCTGAGAGGGGGACAATGGGGGCACTGCGGGCTCGGGAATGAGGGACAACGGGGACACCATCAGCTCCTGAGAGAGGGACAACACTGGCACTGAGAGCTCCTGAGGGCAGGAGCCAACCTGCGAGGAAAACACAGCCTGTGCTGGGGTGGCTGAGCCTCTTTCATGGACTATTTCGATTTTGAAACCATCCACCCCAGCATTCACGAAAATTTAATGCGTCAAAGGCTGATCCGAGCCAAAGGTTTGGACTCTGCGATCTTAAGAGGTCTTTTCCAACCTCGTTGATTCTGCCTCTTGACAGCCCCTCGTCTGTCTCTCTTATGGGTTAATAAACACGAGTAAAATATCTGTGGCAGTGCCTGGGGCTGAGCTGCTGGTTAATTAAAGGGTTAGTGAAAGGGTTAATGAAAGGGTTAATTGAGGGCGGGTCCCTGGCGGTGCCCGAATCCAAGATGGCCGCCTGCGCCCGAATCCAAGATGGCCGCCTGCGCCCGAATCCAAGATGGCTGCCTGCGCCTCACTTCCGCCCCCGGTTGCGCAGGCGCGGTGCGATGCGGCGCGTGGCGCGGGCCGCGCTGAGGGCGCTGCCCCGGGAGGCGTCGCCATGGCGGCCTCGCCGCCCCCTGCCCGGGTCCGGGGCTGCTCCGCCACCGCCCCGCCCGCTCTGCAGCGCCCCAGAGCCGCCCTGGGGCCCAGCCCGCCCGTTCTGCACCGCCCCGGGGCCGCCGCCCTCCAAGCACTATCGCCTGGTGTTCACCTGCAAGGTGGGCTGGGTGGTGGGTGGCTGTGAGGGACAGAGGGACAGAGCCGGGATGGAGGGGGGGGAACTGTCGGTGTAGCTGCTTGCTTGTGATTCTAAACTTGCAGTCAAAGACTAACTCAGGCTGGAAGAGCCCTCTGGAGGTTTCCAGTCCCGCCCCCTTGTGCGAGGAGGATGTTCGGGGTCTTGTGAGTATCGCTGAGGATCCCCCTCCTCAGCGAGCCACAGAGAGCAGTGAAACCCCGCCAGGCTGAGCTCAGGGCATCCAGGCGTTTTGGGGATGGTTCGAGGTGACGGAGAGCAAGTTTTAATCGCGTACAGTGGCCCAGGAGCTGCAGTTCCCGCGCTCACCAAATGCGCTCTGCTTTCCAGGTGTGCCAGACGCGCTCGTCCAAATCCATCTCGAAGGCCGCCTACCACCGCGGGGTGGTGATCGTGACCTGCCCCGGCTGCGGGAACCACCACGTCATCGCCGACAACCTGGGCTGGTTCTCCGACCTGCAGGGAAAGAGGTGCGTGTGCCGAGGGATCCTGCTCAGCTCCCGCTCAGCGGTGCAGCCGGACCCTCCTTGAGCTCGTACCGTATTTCGGTGATGATGCTTTTAAAATCTGGCTCAGAGGA